CTAATGACCCATAGGTCAAAGAGACAGTCTCAAAAGAAATTAAAACAAATACCCAGAGCTGAATGAAAATAGAAGATATAAAAATGTCTAGATTTTAACTAAAATGTGCTAAGAAGAAAATGTTTAGTGATAATAACTTACATTAGAAAAGACAAAAGGTCTCAAATCAATGCATTCTTACCTCAAGAAAGTAGAAAAAAAAAGGAGAAAAATAATCTCAAATAAGGCAGAAGCAAATAAATGAGAACTTAATGAAAATGAAGAAATGTGGGGGAAATCAGTTAAGAAAAGCAGTTGTTGGGGAGAAAAACATGAAATTGATTAATCTCTGTCTTTATTCAGGTCACTATAACAAAATAGCACAGAGCAGGTGACTTACAAAGAATCGAAATTCACTTCTCACATTCTGGAGTCTGGAAGTTCAGGATCAGAGTGCCCAAGTGGTCAGTTGAGGGCTCTTTTCTCAGTCACATACTTGCATCCTCACATGGCTAAAGCTGTGGGGAACTCTGTCAGACCTCTTTTATAAGAGCACTAATCCCATTCATGAAGCCTCTGTCCTCATTTCCTAAACACCCCCAAAAGCCTTACCCTCTAATATCACCACCTAAGGAGTGAGGTTCCAACAAAGGAATTGGGCAGTATTCAGACCATAGCAAGTTCTAAGACTAACAAAAATAAAAGAAGGTACAAATTATCAAACTGAGATAAAAAGAAGAATGTCATTAGCTTGAAGCCATTTATAAGATAATGAGGGAATACTATAAACAGTGCTATGCTCATAAATTCAACAACTAAGGACCAATTCCTTAACAAAAAGACCACAACTCAACCAAGATGAAACTGCCAAATTGAATAGTCTATAATCATAACAAATTTAATTTCTATTTGAAAATCTTCCCCCAAAATATCTCCAGGCCCAGATGGTTTCACTGGTGAATCCTATCAAATAATTAGAGAACTGGCACCAATTTTACATATTTCTTGCAGAAAACAGAAGATGAGAACACTTCCATCACTTGTTGTGTAGCCAGCTTTATTGTAATGCAAAAAAACAAAGTACCGAAGACAAAACTCATTCTCTTTCTTGAGTTTAGACGTAAAAATCAACATAATTTTAGCAAACTGGATCTAGTAATAAACAAAATGATTATATACCAAGCCAGTGGGACTTATTCCAAATATGTAAGACGGTTGAACATTGGAAGATAAATGACTGCAATCCATTTTAATTAACAGGCTAAAGATGAAAAATCCCATTATCTATAATTGCTCCAAAGAAAGTGAAATACTTATACATAAATCTAACAAGACATATAGGAACTGCATGCTGAAAAGTACAAAACTCTGATCAAAGATATGAAAGAGGCCCTAAATAAATGGAGAGACTGTGTTCATGTTTTAGGAGATTCAACGTGGTAAAGAAGTCAGTTCTCAACAAATTAATCAATAGGTTTAATAAAACTCTTGTTGAAATCCCATCAAGGTTTTCCGTAGACATATACAGGCTTATTCTAAAAATTATATGGAATGGCATAGGTGCTGGAATACCAAAAACAATCTTGAAAAAGTAAAATAAAGTTCTAGTATTATGTCTTACTGTACAGGTACAGTAATCAAGGCAATATGGCAGGTGTAGAAATAAATATATAGATACATAGATTGATAGAACAGAATAGAGAACCCACAAATAGACCCACACAAATATGCCCCAAATATTTTTATACAGGGGTGCAAAAGTCATTTAATGTAGGTGGTTAGCCTTTTCAGTAAATTAGTAATGAAGAAATTGGTCATCAATAGGAAAGAGAGAAGAGAAAGAAACGAAACAAAGAAACAAAGAGAAAAAGAAGAAGAAAGAAAGAAGAAAGAAAAGAAAGAAGAAAAAAAAGAAAGAGAAGAAAGAAAGAAAAAGAAAGAAAGAAAGAAAGAAGAAAGAAAGAAAGAAAGAAGAAAGAAAGAAAGAGAAAGAAAGAAAGAAAGAAAGAAAGAAAGAAAGAAAGAAAGAAAGAAAGAAGAAAAGGAAAAGAAAAAAGAGGGAGGGAGGAAGAGAGGGAGGAAAGGATAGGATGGACGGAGGGAAGAATATCAACTTTAACTTCACGCCTTACACACAAAAAATAACTGATTATATTAAATATTTGAATCTATAAAGTAAAGCTAAAATTTTTGAAAAGTAAAGGAGAAAATACTCATGATCTGGTGTTACACATGCAGAGTCCTTAGCACTACCACGCAAAACATATCTATAAAGGGAAAAACTGACCACTTTTCTTCATTCAAATTTTGTCTTAATTTCTCTGTGAATGACCCTATGAAGATCAGATTCTCCCTCCTTTCAGAAAACAAGCTCCAGACCTTAGTTTAGGTTAGAAATGTATTCATCACCTCCCAAAAGTTTCCTTGTGTCCCTTTGGCTTTCTCTTTCTCTCTCCCTCCCTCCTTCCTTCCATTCCTTCTCCTTCTCTCTTTCTTTTTGTGATAAGATTACTTAACATGAGACCGGATTAATGAATTTTTAAAGTATTACACTGAATTGTTAACTACAGGCACTGTTATACAGCAGAAAGTTAAAACTTAGCTCATCTTCTAAAACTGTAACTTTGACCCACTGACAGTAATTACCCATTTTTCCCCTTCCTCCAGGCAACTACCTGTTTTCTGCTTCCATGAGGTTGCTGTTTTGTATGCCTCATATAAGTGGAATGATGCAGTCTTTGTCCCTCAGTGCCTGATTTATTTCACTTCCAGGTCCATCCATGTTGTTGCAAATGGTAGGATTTCCTTCTTTTTTTAATGCTGAATAATGTTCATTGCATATATTTGCCACGGTTTTTTAATCCATTCTTCTGTCGATGAACATGTGGGTTTTTCCCTCATCTTGGCTTGTGATTGATGCTATAATGAACTTAGAAGTTCAGATATGTCTTTGAGATCCTAATTTTATTCTTTGGATATATATCTAGGAGTGGGATTGCTGAATCATATGATAGCTTTATTTTGAATTTTTTAAGGAAACTTCATACTGTTTTCCATAGTGGCTAGACAGATCATTTACATTTCCACAAACAGTGTTCAAGGCTTCCAATTTCATAACATACTCACCTACATTTGTTGTCTTTTGGTTTTATGTTAATAGGTTTCCTAACATGTATGAGGTATGTGGTAGCTTATTATAATTTCTATCTGTATTTCCCTGATAGTGATTTTAAACATCTTTTTATACACTTCTTGGCAATTTGTAGGTCTTCTTTGAATAAATGTCTATTCAAGCCCTTTGCCCATTTTTAAATTGCTATTTTATTATTAAATTATGGTTGTTTCTGGTATCTTTTGGATATTTGCCTTTATTGAATATGTGGTTTATAAACGTTTTCTCTCATTCTGTGGATTTCTCTTTCACACTGATGACAATCGTTCTTTTGTGGTTTTATTTGTATGTAGTCTCACTTCCACTTGCCTATTTTTGCATTTGTTGCTTGTGCTTTTTTTTAAAGATTTTATTTATTTATTCATGAGAGACAGAGAGAGGCAGAGACACTGTGGCAGAGACACTTTCCACAGAAACATGTGGGACCCAATCCTGGGATTCCAGGGTCATGCCCTGGGCTGAAGGCAGGCGCCAAACCGCTGAGCCACCCAGGGATCCCACGTTGCCTCTGCTTTTGTTGTCACATCCATAAAATCATTGCTGAGACCAAGATCATAAAGCTTTCCCCCCATGTTTTCTTCTAGGAGTTTTATAGTTTCAAATCTTGTGTTTCAAGTCTTCAATCCTCTTTAAGCTGATTTTTGTTTTAATGGTGTAAGATAGGAGTCCAATTCCATTGTTTTGAAAATGGATAGCTTTTTCCCCAAATCATTTATTGAAGAGACTACTCTCTCTATATTTTCTTACACTCTTATTTCAGGACAGTTGACTATAGATGTGTGGACTTGTTTCTGGTCTCTTTATTGTGTTCCATTGATCTATAGGTCTATTTTTATGCTAGTACCATAGTTTTAATTATAATAGTTTTGTAAGACTGATTTTAAAATCAGGAATTGTGATGCCTCCAACTTTGTTCTTCTTTTTCAAGATTGCTTCACCTCTTCTGGGTCTTTTTTGTTCCATATGAATTTTAGAATTTTCTTTTTCTATTTCTGTAAGAAATGCCATTGAGATTTTGATGGGAATAGCATTGAATATGTAAATTACTTAGGGTAGTATGGACACTTAACAATATTAAATCGACCCATGAATCTAAAATGTCTTTCACTTACTTATTTTTTAAAATCTTTCATTAGTGTTATATAATTTATAGCTTATGAGTCTTTCACTTCCTTGCTTAAGTTGACTCCCAAATATGTTATTCTTTGTGATACTATTGTAATGGTCTCATTGCATTCATTGATATTCTGTGAGAATACATGTAAAAACACTTTTAAGAGAAATATAAATAGAAATCATAAATTTCACATATTATTTCTCTAAAATATGGTGAGAAATGGTAATAAAAAAATTTTCCACAGATACACTTGTGGGGGAAGTGACTATATCTCTCTTAAGAACACAAGGACACAGATCTTAATTTAGAAATTTTATTTGTTTGTTGATGTAGAAAGTAGCAAATAAAACATACTTATTTATATGATTGGAATTCAAATCCGTATTTCCTTGAAAGGTCTAGGCAAAGCCTAATGATATGGTATCAGATGAGTGTTTAGTATTTACTTTAGTAACATTTAGGTATCTCTATATTTAAGAAAAATATGCTTCAATCATTAAAACATATTTGCCTCACTCCAAAACAATTAATTTCAATCACTATAAAACAGGGCTCCTATAATACTTCAAAAGTTACTTGATGCTAGATATAATTTATATGAAAGCGTAGACATTAGAAATTTTATTTAACAACTGCTTGTTTAGACCTACCTTTCAGTCCTTTTCATATTAATTTCACTAGTAATTGACTAATAGATCCAATAACTACTCAGGATTCATATAGATTGCATCTTTATTTATTGGTTAATTTTTGTTGTTGTTGATAACTTGATTTTATTGTCATCACCACTATTTTTTCAGATGTGGTCTCTCTGAAGTTGGCTTTCTCCATTGCATTCTCATGAGCTACAGTAGATAGGCCCAGATCTCTGGCCCCTGCCACTGACAGGTCACTGCTTGGATCATCAGAGCTCTCTGGGGTCTCTTGTTTAGACTCCAGCTGATTCTGATGTATTTTCTTGTTCGTTCTGTAGTAACAGACTATTATTGTTGGATTTTTTGTGTTCTTCATTTTCTTCAAATTCTGTTGATGGCCTAATGTTGCTCTTATGACTTCCTTTTGCACCTGGTAGAAAAAAGAAGATGAAGCCATAAGGAGATTAATTTGGAGGAAGTGGAGGGGGTGGTGGATGGCAGAGAGGCTTTATAAGAAGGGGTACGAGTTGCTAGACAAGGAGAGTGTAGGGATTGTAGGATGGAAATATAAAGAAGAGGAGAAGCATGAATAGAGATATTTTACCTTGTCATTTTTTTTGTTGTTGGAGGGACAAGAAATGTTCTGCTTTTTCCTTCCTTTGGTGCATGGCATTCGCCGTTTCATTCTCATACTTGATTGTTCTCGATTTATGCTAGGCTTTTATGGTATGTGGATCTTATCACCATATTTAAGCCTCCTAGTGATCTATCTCAGGGCTCCTGACTTTCGTTTATTTACATATACACACTTTCCCTTAGACAATGTGGAGCCATATCCTTTGGCTTTGGTCATCAAAGAACTGTTCCAGCCAATGGGTGGCTTCAACATCACAAAGCATTACTTCTGACATCTTTGGGCCGGGGGGGGGGGGCGGGGGGGATATAGGTTTGATGCTGTGGTCAGTTCTTTAACAACCCTAAAGATAGGTCCTAAAATGACCTGTAATTCTTCTTTATCTGCAATATACAATTCTGATGGCAAACATGACATAAAGAGGGAGTTTCTTCCATTCATGCTCCATTACACCCCTATTCTGTGGTTCATTTGGTTCTTTCTCACTCTTCACCATTACCTATTATTGTGAATTTCTTTTTTTTTAATATTTTATTTATTCATGAGATCCACAGAGAGAGAGAGAGAGAGAGAGAGAGAGAGAGAGGCACAGACACAGGCAGAGGGAAGAAGCAGGCTCCATGCAGGGAGCCTGATATGGGACTCGATTCTGGGTCTCCAGGATCACACACTGGGCTGAAGGTGGCACTAAACCGCTGGGCCTCCGGGGCTGCCCTTATTTTGAATTTCTTTTTTTTTTTTAATTTTTATTTATTTATGATAGAGAGAGAGAGAGAGAGAGAGAGAGAGAGAGAGAGAGAGAGAGAGAGGCAGAGACACAGGCAGAGGGAGAAGCAGGCTCCATGCACCGGGAGCCCGACGTGGGATTCAATCCCGGGTCTCCAGGATCGCGCCCTGGGCCAAAGGCAGGCGCTAAACCGCTGCGCCACCCAGGGATCCCCTATTTTGAATTTCTTATCTAAACTTTCTCCAAGCTAATGGGCCATATTTAAATCTATAAAGAGATTTGTTCTTTATTTTTTATTTTAATCACGCATTGCTCATCACAACAAGTGCATCCCATCCCCTATTTAATCATCTCTCCACCCACCTCCCTTTTGGTAACCATCAGTTTGTTCTCTATAGTTGAGTCTGGGTTTTTTTGGTTTATTTGTCTGTCTGTCTCTTTTTTCCCTTTGTAGTCTATGAGGAAATCTGAATTATCTCATTTTCCCACCACAAATCCTTCCTATGCACTTTGAAGACCAGTTACTTTTTGGTTACTGCCAGGCAAATTTTTTTAAAGATTTTATTTATTTAGGGACACCTGGGTGGCTCAGTGGTTGGGCATCTGCCTTTGGCTTGGGCCGTGATCATAGGTCCTGGGATTGAGTCTTGCCTTGGGTTCCCTGCAGGTAGCCTGCTTCTCCCTCTGTGTATGTCTCTGTGAAATAAATAAATAAATAAATAAATAAATAAATAAATAAATAAATAAAATTTAATAGGATTAATAAGATTTTATTTATTTATTTGAGAGAGAGAGAGAGAGAATAAGCAGGAGGAGGAGCAGAAGGGGAGGGAGTTGGAGGGGAATTAATCTCAACCAGATTCCTCACTGGGCTCAGAGGCTGATGCAGGACTCAATCTCACAACTCTGAGCTCATGATCTGAGCCAAAACCAAGACTTGATCACTTAACCAATGGAGCCACACAGGCACCCTAGTCCAGGCAACTTTTCTATCCATCTCTTTCTCCCCAGTGTTCATGTAAATCTCTTCAATTTTTGGTTTTCATTCTGAAATCACTGTCTGACAGCTGTCAAGACTTCAGTGACTTAGTTTCTCTACTGGGTATCTTCATCTCGTTTTAAATATGGAATGCATATTCATGTTAGTATATGCAGTATTCTGACATGGGTTTTACCAGTGTGGAGGGAAAGGGGAAGGTATTCATAGGACAAAAGTTGCTCTGAGTGTTTAAATGCAAAACACTACAAGCTAAAACTGACTTGTTCACCCAGAGTAGGGCTAACTCAACTTATCCTGGAAGTTTTGTGCATTGTAACAAGAGAAAAAGAAATAAGATTGGTAAAGGAGAAGTAAAAATGTCCTTCAAAAACTATGACAGTTGGGGCACCTGGATAGTTCAGTGGTTGAGCATCTGCCTTTGGCTCAGGGTGTGATCCTGGGGTGCTGGGATTGAGTCCTGCATCAGGCTTCCAGGGAGCCTGATTCTCCCTCTGCCTATGTCTCTGCCTCTCTCATTTTGTCTCTCATGAATAAATAAATAAATCTTTAAAAACAAAACCAAAAACTATGAGAATTTATGTACTAAGTTCTATCAATGTGAAAAAAAGCTTCTACAACTAATAATTGAATGTATTGAGGTTGCAGGATATAGGATCAATACATGAAGTCAATTGTATGTTTTTATATTAATAAACAATTACAATTTTTATTAATAAGCAATTAAAGTAGTTTATTAATAATTAAAATTTAAAAGTGTAATTTAAAATATTACTAGAAAATAAGAAATACTCAGGGATAAATTTGACAAAAAGTATAAAAGACCTACACACTAAAAGGTATAAAACATTGTGAATATACATAAATGACATAATTAAACAAATGGAAACATATACTTTGTTTATGGGTACGAAAACACAATATTATGTCAATTCTTCTCCAATTCATCAACCTAAAACCAATCAAAATCCCAGAAAGACTTTATTTAAAAGATGTATTTGTTTATTTTAGAAACAGAGTTGTTGGGGGGTAGAGTAGGGGTAGAGGCAGAAGAGAGAATCCGAAGCTGACTCTGCTCTGAGCATGGACCCCAATGCGGGTCACAATCCCTCAAGTCTGAGACCATAATCTAAGCTGAAACCAACAGTTTGATGCCTAACTAACTATACCACCCAGGCACCCCCCAGAAAAGCTTTTTTTTTTTTTAACAGAAATTGACAGTTATTCTAACATTCATATAAAAATTCAAAAGACTTAGAATAGCCAAAGCAAAATTCTAAAATGTGATGAACTCTGAATAAACCCTGTGAAGTAAATCAATGTCAATGTTCTAATTTTAATAATGCTCTGTGATTATGCAATATTTTATCACTGAAGGAAGCTAGGTTACACACAGGACTCCCTTGTATATAACTTTGAAACTTCTTTTAAATCTATAATTATTTCAAAATTAAAAATTAATAGAAGCAGGGATCCCTGGGTGGTGCGGCGGTTTGGCGCCTGCCTTTGGCGCAGGGCGCGATCCTGGAGACCCAGGATCGAATCCCACATCGGGCTCCCGGTGCATGGAGCCTGCTTCTCCCTCTGCCTATGTCTCTGCCTCTCTCTCTCTCTCTCTCTCTCTCTCTCTCTCTCTCTCTCTGTGTGTGTGTAACTATCATAAATAAATAAAAATTAAAAAAAATTAATAGAAGCAGCAAGAGAGAGAGCTAAGGGTACCAAGAGCGTGCCCCCGGAGTCCTCTAACAAGAATTCACACAACTTCATAATGAGAAAACAATTGGATTAGAACCTTGATTCTTGATCCAGTTTTCATGCAGCACATACATCTTCATCTCATACACTAGAACATCAAGAAAGACCTAGCAAAATGCCCTAATGATTTACAGACAAAACAAATTTATAGCATTCCCATGACCATAGACTAAACACTACTAAATAAAGAGAATGCTGTTACTAAGGCATACTTTTTCTTAGTGTGTTCCAGATGATGTCTAGTGATTACCACTTCCATTTATTAAATGTACACAAGCCAATTTTTAAGGTTTTTCTTTAACTCTTGTCTGCAATAATGAGAATACCATGTCATATATATAATATATACATATATATAGTATATGTATATGTATATATATACATATATAATCAACAGACTACATCAAATAGAGATCAAAAGGATTAAAATTGTTGAAAATAACATCCTTCCATTCTCTTAAGTAACAGTTTTCTAAATTTGCTTACCAAAAATATATTGAAGGTTGTACTACTACCCAGTGAAAATTCATCAAAGCATTAGGAACATAATCAGTCTATGCTCTGTACTGAAATATTGTAATTGATTCTATAAAATAATCCCTGTTGGACTCTTTAGTGGTTCTCTTTTAAATTTCCCACCTAAACAAATGAGAAAAAAATTAAAGGCCATCAATGGACACTAAGTTTGTTTTTTATCAAAACTTTCCATTTTGGTGTGTTCAGTTTTCAAGACTAATCTTCATCATACAGGGTTGAGGAACACATTCAAAGTGACTCTCCCATGACACAATGCAAGTCAGAGACAGATCCAGGCCCCAAATCACGTACTCCTATTTTCCTTTTTGTTTCTTTTTTCTAGGCTTTTGTACAAGTGATATTATCAACTGACACTGATTTCACTATAATAATAACCCTCAACTACATCTGCAATGACTTTCTTTACACTATTTATTTTTTAACTATAGAAGGCAGGTTTGAAAATTACACAGAGCACCAGACATGGGATGTAATCTGCTTGAGAATTTGTTTCATTCTGGCCACAAAGGGCAAGGTGTCAGAAGCCAACCATCCAATTTCCTCAAGGGCAGTTAAAGAGAAACAGACTGGGAAGACCTGAGGACCATGGAAGGGGGTACTTCTTACAAGCTTTGTGTGGGACTTGCTTTAGGAAATACCAACACCATCACCTGCACTGTGAACACTCCTATCACTTATAACACTGCTACTACTAATGGCAACAGAGTCCATGTACCAAGAACGTACTACATGCCAAGCTCTATTCTCAGCATATAGTATCAGTCAGAGCCATAACAGGAAACAGTGCACACAAACTGAAATAATTTGACAAAGAAAAGGGTATTGGGAGACCATCAGCAAGACTGCCATAACAGTGTTAATAGCAGCTGCCTTGCTATTACCTCTGACCTAAAAAGAAAAGAAGATGGAGTGGTCCCTGGAACCTAGAAAAGTCAATAATCATGAAGAAAAAGCCATCTTGAAAAGAGCAGTGGCCTCTATCAAGAAACTCAGCCAGCCCAAAGTGATAAGCAGAGAAGACAGGAGATTAAGCAC